GTCAGATTTATTTTCTAATTTGACAATTCTATTGCCTATATTGTCAAAATTATTTTCTCAATCTGGCAATTTCATTGAATGTAATGTTAATTTTATCGTACTCTGATAAAAGCCTATATAAACAATGTTATTATATTTGACAATATTTGACTCGATGTCAATGACGATGTGGCAGCGCCACCTATAGAGATTCCTTATTAAAATAAGTGGAACTATTGAGTGCGTGCACCATATCGCACGTGAATTTTCAATATGGCAGCGCCCATAGAATTGAAAAGTTAACCAATTTCGTAACCACAAATTATCGCTGTACGAATTTTATTGTTTGTTTTGTTACATTTATTTCGATTTGTTATCAATTTTGTTGAATTTTTTTGTCATTTTTATTGGCGATTTGTAAATTTTAAAGGAGGTTTTGTATTTAATCATTCTGGCTCATTACGGATTGAAAGAATGTATACACAAACACCGCAGTGACGATGTTGTTATTGAGATGAATCATTTCACAACCGTGTCTATGACAAACAAGCAAATTTCGGCTGTGTTGACGATGCTTGTTTTGTTATTGGAACAAAACACTGTTCTCTTTATGTCTCACTTTCTCTTATGCATTTATGTTTAAGCATTTCTCAACTATGTTTCCCAAACACACACACACACACACACACGTTTCAAACACAGACAATGAGTCCATCGCGCACTTGTTTTCATTTCATTCCATTGTTCTTACTGTGTCCGTGTGTAACTCTCCGCTCGGCCTGTGTGTTCTAACTGTGTATGTATGTAACACGTACCGAACAAGCAATAAGCAAACGGTTTGCGATATGTAAAGTGAGGCGAACGTCTGTATGTATTGATTTGTATTTGATACACACAGTTCAATCGCAATTCTGAATTTTTTGTGCTCAGGCGCTTGTGTGTACGTTTTGATTGTTGTGTGCTCGTTATGAACATTGTTTGGTTGGCAGAACTGTGCTTGCTTTTCAGCATTATTTACAAGTTTCATTCCGGCAATGAACAAACCTAGTATATGTACGTCAAAATGGAGAAGATAACGGACAACGACAGTTCGTCCTGTTTAAATGGCTTGAAAATTTATGAGTCGAAAAATTTATCGGAGGTCATAATGATTTACTTAAAATCAACATCGGTTTCATTATGACATATAATATGGCCGTTTGTTGAAGGAACCTTAATCACCATTCAACCTAATTAAAATCGATGAGCTTTTGACGCATTCACTTGGTTCGGATATATAAATCCAACACGGATTATATTGAAAATTAAATGAGTTTTGTCTTCGTGAGTAGAAAAGAGAGAGCTTTTTCCGGTCGATTTCCAACACCACACACTGGATCGGATTGTGTAAAACGAGAAATCCCCACAAATAACGATGATAATGAAGTAAACAAACCAAACCCTTATCCTTATCTGATTTGTCATTGGAGGCGTTTTTAGTTTTAAGTCTACTAGTGGTG